TTAACACAAAATTACAGAATCTCTTGGTAGAGTATGAATATTTCATTTGCGAATTTCCATCGTTTGTTCTTCACATTGTATATAATTCAAGTCACAATTCCCTTCCATTTCCGTTTCTGTTTTCTTTAAGTCACACTTAATGGCTTTTTGTTGCTAGGTTTTCCGCTTTCGACTGGTGCTACATACTACTTATGTCGACAGACATAAGTAGCATATACCAGACAGCCATTTTGAAAATTACATTACGTATAATTTATAGTCATACTTATTAGTATTGATAAGGAGGTTAATAAACTCTCTTCATTGAAGATTATATACATTATTTAGATAGTTAATTATGACAAACTGCACTGAATCCTATTTTAAAACTTCTACCGCCATCAGCTGTAACGTGGAAAAAACAAGGACTCAATAGCTCAGTATGTAATGCGATAAAATTTGAAGCGAACGGTACTGAGTTCGAATCCAAGAGTGAGCATCAATTTTAAGATGCACGTGCATCCATCTGGCGAGTCCCAAATAGGACGAAACTCATGTCCTTGATTCCACTACAAGCCATAATCCTTCTTTGCTTATAAAATCAAGTTATCATTATGAAGGATTCGACGAACTTATAGTGTTTAGACGTTTTCGATACTAAAAAAAGCAATGGAATTCAGTTTGTTTAATTTGAAGAAAAAAATAGATATATATTTTAATGTTAAGGATTTGACTGGAAACCAATAAGTGAACATTTTATTATTTTTATATCTGTAAGGTGTTCTTATATCATGTAAATTGTGTACATTATCTGTTATTTATAAATCAATATTTCATTTAGAATTTATTTGTGATAAAATCAATTTTATTTTCGTTTTTACATCTCTGAAAAATGTCAACTTAATAATACTTGAAAACTTCAGTAAAAATATTCATAAATGTCAACAAATAATCAAATGATTGTTTTCCCGCAAATATCAGTTATCACGCAATCATCAACATCATCGGAAAGAGAAGAAGAAGAGGAAATCAATAAAACATCTAATTGAATCAACAACAACAAAATGAAAATGTCATTGAAGAAATTTTTAATGAATCTGATTTCAGTAATGAAATCTCTCGAATCATTTAAGTCACTTCTCTGATAGGCTCTGGGTTCGAATCCCGCGAAGTGGGGTCGTGGATGCGTACTGCTGAGTAGTACAACAATAGGAAGAAACGGCTGTGCAGTGCTTCCAGATTTTACATGGTGGTCTAGCTTCAACTGACTCATGATCTCAACTGTTGAAATTACTACGATCTCCAAAAAACCCCTTCTGATACTAATCAACATATGCTGATTAGTGACTGGCTTCAAGAGATATATCCTGGAGTTCTAGTGAGAAGCAGTGACCAGTGGAGTTCAACCGAGTCTGTTATGAGGTAGTAACTCACTGAAGACAATGGTGGATGTGTCGCTCAATTTCGTGTATTAGTTGAAGTTAGACATTAATCCCGCTGGATACCGGCCGGCTCAGTGGTCTAATGGTTAAGCGCTCACGCATGAGACTGATAGATCTCGGGTTCGAATCCCGCGAGGCGAAGTCACAGGTGTGCATTGTTTAGCAGTTCCACAACAGGAAGAAGCGGCCATTTAGTGCTTCCAGAATTTCCATTGTAGTCTAGTTCCAATTGACTCACGATCTCAACTATTGAAATTACTTCTGTTTATTGTAAACAATGTTAACAGTCTACATTTTAAATTTCAATGCGGTCTTTTCCTGAAACTTAACTCTTCCTTTTTTTTAAAATTTAGATTTTAAATCTAAAGTTTGTTTATATTGTGACGTTTTAATAAATTTGACAGAATATTTAATTTTAGACATTTCGTATCAGATACTTTGAAAAGTTTTATTATTATTGTAATGTGTTTCATCTTTTACTAAACTCGGTGATTTTGTTAAATAAACATTGTAATTCTTTTGAATTTATTATTTGAAGAGTCCATGGTTCATATCACTTTTGATGAAACATATGTTGACATGATATTCAGCAAGTTGGGTGACTGAAATGTTTAACAAAACATTCAAGTATTTAGTCTTGATTATAGAAATAATCTTTTTCGAAGAACTCTTATTGAATATACTACTGAGAGAATACAAAGATGAATGACCATTACAACTAGTTTATTAAAACTAATTTTGAAATGGGGTTACTGAGTTATAAAATTATATGCTTGTAAGTCCTAAAAGCATTATCCCTAAGTCATTAAAACACAAGAAATCACTGGAGATGAAATATTTCTATTTTCAATGATAATCTAGAATATCTCCTCATTTGGGTTACTAAATAATGATTATATCGACTCAATTCGTTAACAGCATTATTCATGATTTATAATATGACTACTGTTCATTCACCAACCATAGTATATCGAAACTACTTTATATGTTGGTGAAGTCTGATCAAATCCATTGATTCACTTTTATCCGTATTGATTGATTCTTCTCCTATTTAGTACGCTATATTAGGCATATTAATGTTTGAGCATAACATTTCAGTACATATTTAACATATTCAAAAGTATAAAACATTAACTAAGGGTACAGTTCTTTAAATTCATGTTTGTTAAAGAACATATCAGGGAAAAAAGCTACTTATATAGTTTATAATTATCTCATGTACAATATCTGGATAAAGGTTCTTTGAATTACAAATACGATTGTGAATTACAATATATTGAGATGGTGGAGAAGATTTATAGCTCAGGTGGATGATTTTGATGAAGTTTTGTTCTCTGAGCTGGATGATTTGGTCGTGGAACGCATATGGAGAAATTCGTACACTTCACTTCTATCTGAAGTTTGTGTTGATGATATCGTCCAAAAGAACGATGAAAACTCCACGACCAAGCCATCCAGCTCAGAGAACAAAACTGCATCAAAATTACAATATATCTTCTGAGATTCACATTTTAAAAAATATCAGCTAGATTGTTTAATTTGTAATAAATTCGGTAAAGTGTAACATTTAGTCATTTTAATAGATCTATGTATTATTCTAACATTGCAGTTGTATGTTAATTTTTTACATTTAACTTACATAATCCACTTTATCCTTTCAAAGTAATGAAGATTTATTGATATTTAATAATAAGTGCATTGTTAAATTTTATACAGTTTATGAAACTATCTGAATAGTTAAACCATGTAAATGGAGTTATATATTCTACAAATGTTCTTACTATTTTCAACATAGTCTCTTAATTTCAACTAAAGAATTCTTGAGCTTATAAGTTAGAGTAGTATCTTTTTTATTTTGGAAACTCAGGGTTAAGATATCCAGTTATTATTGTTGTGTTTTTTTTTAGAAATTCATTCATCTCCACATATTCAAATGAGTTTGGCAACTAGAGCCAAATGGTATTGCTTTGTCTCTGATCTAGATTAATGGATGAATAATCATTGGTATTACATAGACATGCATAAGTATCATTATATATGGATGATTTAACCGCAAGAGATATTTATGTCAGACAATTCTAAATAGAAATGCAACGACAACATCAACAACAACTAGACATAAAAACATAAAACCAAGCATCAAAAAGTCTATTTCAAAGATTACATCTACTTAAAAAACATACACTAACAATAATGATGCTACTTAAACATTGACCAAATGAATTAAATATATGAATATTGTTACAATTAGGATTTCTTGACATGATAATATTGTTATAGTTCATTAACTAAATCTTTTAAGCACAATGTTTAAACAATGAAATTGTCCTAATAAATATGATTTTATATAATTTCAAGAAATTAGGTTGTTTTGTTTTTATACCTTGGTTAGGTTAACTAAAATGTCTACTTCATTTTCGGATTATTATAATTTATCCCTTTTTCAAATTATTGAATGAATAGATTATAATCATATATTGTTCAGTCATTTGATTATTATTATATAGGGGATTGAGCGACACTAAAAAGACCTTTGAGAATATTGACCCTATATACTGGGGCTAAATGAGAGTTATAAGCCAGTGTAAGGAATTAGGATTAATATTTACAGTTGATACCTAGGGTTAGGAGTTAGTTTTCGATTATTTATCACAAACTGACATCAGTTAAAATGCCGAAATTCAAGACCTGTCATCGTAAATCTGATTGGTCTGTTCATAAATTATAGTCACACCGATTAATTTTCATGTTAAATGTTTTCTTCTCCAAGAAAAAGACTTTTCTGTTTTATTTCAATACCATTCAGTAGTGTATATCACCCTTACATTTTTCTTACATTTCTACATGTAAGTTATAGTTGTGCAAAAGATAGCCATATTATTGATAAGTTAGCCTGCTGAATCCTATAACTAAGGTTATTTAATTCTAATTAGCTTTTTCCTACAACAATAATAATAATCTAAGTCTGTATCAGTGAATTTTCATAGCCTTGTTTAATAGGATCAAGTTTTAACTAAAGTGACATGTATATTATTTTGACTAAATGGAATTTTAGAATTATATTTTGTTATGCCTGATGTTGGGGAAACCTACGTTATGGAGTAATTCTTTGTCAACACGTAGCAATATGAAGTAATTAAGAAAAGTTATTAAATTGCACCTACATATGTATAAAATTTATCATGTTTATATTTATCATTTATTTTAAGACAGTGTATATAATATTGTAGTGTATGCTACTTATGTCGATAGACACAAGTAGTATGCAACACCAATCAAAAGTTGAATGGCTGATAGCAGAAAGCTAGGAAGATCGAATTGAAGAAGACAGAAACGGAACTAGAAAAAAATTGGGATAATCAGACAGATCGCTAAAGATAATTGATGGAATTTTGTAAATGAATCATTTAATGTATGAATTTTAGTTGCCCTATACGATCAAATTAATGTCAGATATAGAACCACTAAAGGTTCTTATATTTTACGAAGACATTCTGTAATTTGATATTAAACAATAATTTGGTTGTCTTTATATGAGTTCTCGTTCATTACAATATGTATAGGGTGTTGGTGACTTACCGAGCAGCAGAAGCTCCATGTTGTAAAGTAGCAGCACTCGAATGTTGAAATGAAGTATCAGGGACCAAAATACGATCTGCGAGTAGACGTGAATTACAACCAATCGCAACTAAAAAAAATAATAGATGAAAATGAATATAATTATTAAGTAGCAAATTAAGTCGTACATCGTGAAATAAAGTAAATGATGAGATGAAAATGATATTACGTAAGTATTTTGTAGATTTCATGGGATACATTTCATCACACAATCTTTAGATCAGAATTTTTCAGACTAACGAATATTTATACAATAATTTTAAGGTCTTCATACCCCTTACGGGAAAAGGAGTGTAAAGTTACTGGCATATACTTTTGAAGTAACACGAATTATTCTTAAAATCCATCTTTTACTTTCTAATTCTCAAAAGTTCTTCAATTGTAGTCATTTATTTATGAAATTTATCTTCAATATCTTGACAATTTAACAGTCTATGATTTACAAATGTATAAGATCTTAATGCCTTGGTTTCGTGGCTACATTCAACGCCTTGCTTTGAAATTCACTTATTTTACTCTTGTTCAATCGGTATATTTGTATAGCACTTAACATTTACAGGAGTAAAATGATAAAAAGCAGTAACCACTGGAGTTAAACCGAGTCTGTTGTGAGATAGTAACTCATTGGAGACAATGGTGGATGTTTCGTTCAATTTCGTGTATTAGTTGAAGTTAGACATTAACACCGTTGGATACCAGCTCAGTGGTCTAATGGTTAATCGTCCGCGCGCGAGACTGACAGGTCCTGGGTTCGAACCTCATGAGGCGTGATCGTGAATGAACACTACTGAGGAAGCCCACAATAGGACGAAAAGACCGTTCAGTGTTTTTAGGTTCTTCATTGTGGTCTAGCTTCAACTGACTCATGATCTCAACTATTAAAATTACTACAATATCCACAAAACCCCTTCTGATAAAAAATATATACTTTAGTAGCATTATCAATATTTAATTCACCTAAAGCAGTTCTAGAATTACTGCGGTTCCAAAGGTCAAGTAAAGAAGTTTGAGTAAGGAGTTATCAACCTCATCCCGTCCCCCCACCAGCACCAAAAACATGAACATTTCTAAAAAAACGCTAACCAGAATAAAAATCATCGAAATTGTAATCATTGTTCATAGAAATAATTTAAATTCTAAACTCAATCATAAATCACCAATCAGAATATTTTTTTAGTTTTTTTCTAATGGAATAAGTTTCAAGGGATTTCAGTTGTGTGTCTTCTTTCAACAAATTTTATAAGTTCTCTTTATTAGATAAATATGAACATGAAAAAAGTACAACAATAGTTGATTAACAAACTATTCATTAGTCTTTATTTGAGATTCATCAAACAATAGTAATAATACCAATAGTTGAAATCATGAGTCAATTGAAGCTAGACCACAATGGAAAGCCTTGGAGCACTGAACGGCCGTTTCGTCTTAGTATGGGACTCCTCAGCGGTGCGCATTCACGATCCCGCTCCCCGCAGGATTCGAGCCCGAGACTTGTCAGTCTCACGCGTGAGCGCTTGACCATTAGACCATTGACCCGACCGGCATCTAACGGTGTTAATGTCTAACTTCAACTAATACACGAAATTGGGCAACACATCCACCATTGTCTTCATTGAGTTACTGCCTCACAACAGACTCGGTTGAACTCCACTGGTCACTGCTTCTTACTAGAACTCCAGAAGTGTCTCTTGAAGTCAGTTACCAGTGAGCAGATGATTAGTATCAGTAGGGGTTTTGTGGAGATTTTAATAATTCCAATAGTTGAAATCATGGGTCAATTGAAACCGCTAAGGAGTTCCATACTAGAACGAGATGACCGTCCAGTGCTTCCAGGTTTTTCACGGTGATCTAGCTTCCATTGACTCATGATTTCAATCAGTGAAATTTCTGAAATCTACACAAAACCCCTTCTGATAACAATAATAATAATAATAATAGAAACATTGAATGTATGTGATTTTTCAATAAAAAATTTTTTAATGACAAACCAGGTACTAATTATTATGGTTTAAATGATCTTATATATTCACGAATATCTACAAACATAGTCATTCTTATATATATATGTATGTATGCATAATCTTATTGATATAATAATCCCTAAAGGTTTGTAATCTGTGTAAATTAGTTTAGATGAAATACATATTGACTATTCTTTTTTTTTCCCTTACAATTTCTCTGTCTCAGTTTGTTCCATCTATTTCCCATTATTTGTCTGCAACATTTTAATTTTCCCTTTTTTCCCTATACATGAAATTTCTATAATATGTGTGATAGATAATTTTTAATAACAAAAAAACAAACAAACTATTATTCACCTTTAGATGATGTATAAGGTCAGATTGGTGATGAAATTGTCTTTTGGATTCTTTCTATTGGGAATATACATGTTATTCGAAATAAATTTACATATAAATAGAAAGGATAGGCAACGTTAGTTTCTTTACTTTTTGCTTTACAATTTTATGAATATTTAGACTATAACATAGAATATTATAAGCAAACAATGGAAAGCTAATACAGTATAGCTTTTTATATGTTCAGATAGATGGGAACAAACCATTACCATGTACAAGTGTATATATGTATATATAATGAATAAGAATAGTTAATGAAGCAAAAACATGAAATAATAAAACGTAACATTTGTATGTTTAAGCTATAAAACAGATACATTTTCTTAAGTATCTAAGTAAATTTACTTCGTATTAAATTGATAGAGAGTACCCAACTAAAATGTATTTATATGGAAACTCAATAATTTATATGAATCATCATTAGATTGATATTTTTACAATGTATCGTACATATAAATAAAGAAAATTACCAATGTCACTACAATTACGGATAAATATTGTGAAAGCGCTTTTTTTTCAATATAGGGTTGTGAAGATTATTAAGATTTTTTGATTGAGATCATGGACCGGTTGATGTGAGACTACCATTGAAAATCTAGAAGCAATGGAAGGCCGTTTCGTCTTATTGTAGGATTCCTCAGCAGTGCGCATCCACGATCCCTCTCGCGAAGAGTCCTACAATAGAATGAAACGACTGTCCGGTGCTTCCAAGTTTTCAGTTGTGGTCTAGCATCGATCGGTTCATGATCTCAATCAAAAAGCGCTTTTTAACTGATTCTTGTATGAAAAAGAATTGTACTCATTTGTAACATGTTATCAGTGTGGGGTTGTGGAGATTATTAAGTTTATGATTGAGATCATGGCCAGTGACCAGTGGAGCTAATCCGTGTCGGACAGATACAGTTATCTACTTCAGTACAATGGAAGATGGTCGCGCCATTTCGCGGGTTGGTTGAAGCTAGACATTGACAGCATTGGATGCCAGCTCAGTGGTCTGATGTTTAAGCGCTCACTTGTGAGACTGATAGATCCTGGGTTCGGACCTCGCGAGGATGATCGTTGATGCGCACTTCTGGGGAGTCCCACAATAGGACGAAATGGCCGTTTAGTACTTCCAGGTTTTCAACGGTAGTCTAACATCATTTGGTTCTAAAATACTACTTTTATCATAGCTTTTTCAAGGCTATTTAGTTATTTTGAATAGTCGAAGAATAGCTAGTAAAAATAATTTAAAAAGGAAAGCTGAATTTTTGTGTATACATGGAATAAAACGTGCTTGTATGTCATTTGCCACAAAGATGTAAATGAACTAATGCATAGGTTTTTATTATTTTTTGTAACATTCTAATAAAGACATATCAATATTGTTGAAGTTTTATTAAGAATTAACTTGTGGCATTTAAGAGTTGAGAATGTCATATATTTGTAGAAACAAAACGAATTCAGCTCTTGATACACCATTCTTAATATGGACTCAAAGGTGAAAAAATTCTTTACTTAAATGGAAAGGTGTTATCTTAGTGTAATTAGGGTTTTCAATTATTAAATAGAAAGGGGGGTTGTATAGTTTAGCAAAGTAAACAAAAATCGTTAAGAGCTTAAATTATGTAATAGTTCTAAAAGTAATGTAGTGTGGGATTTCCTTTTATTGTACAAGTTTTCAATAAATAATAAGGACCAGCTTTTTATAAGATAATATTTATAAGATAATAGACAACTAAAGAACGGACAACTGTAAAATGCTGCAAGTTGTCTGTATTCACCATTTTGTAATAAGAAAAATTTCCTCTTATAGGTTTGAGCATCTTTCCATCTTTAAATGAAAGTAGACTTCGATCTGTGATTAATGGAAAGATAGATCTCAACTTTAAAAATGTTGATGTTTGTTTTTTACGGAAAATTAACAGGAAGACATGACAGTTCAACTCGATTTATTAATCAGTTAAAATTAATGGTGTTTACTGTGTACCTAGTTTACAGACTTTATAACTAGATGAAGATAATCATCCAAGTTAATAAAAAAAACTAGAATATCCTTTCAAACACATACTTAAGACAAATTCACTTGGAATTGTTTATTTAAATCTTCCCACTGCTGTTTAGGACAGTAATTAACCAGTCCCTTAATGGCATATGTGCATACTGCGCATATTACCTCGATATTGCCTTAATTCAAAAGCATTCTGAGCAAAGATAGATAGTGGCTAGCAGTGGAATCCAGAACGCGTGCTTCGTTTTATTTGGGACTCGACAGCTGGATGTACCTGCATCTCGCAGTTGATGTTCACTTTGAGACTCGAATCCACTACCGTTTGCTTCAAACGCCATAGCATCATCCAAGCGAATTTAAACTTCACCCCATTGCACAAGCAAGTGGCCACCAGGACTCAGTAGTTAAATGGATAACGCGATGGCGTTTGAAGCGAACAATACTAAATTCGAGTCCCAGAGTGATCGTTCAGTCTGAGATACACAAACACTCAACTATCGAGTCCCAAATAGGACGAAACGCGTGTGCTTTGCTTACTGAAGACAGTTTTTATGATATCAAACTGAAGGAACCATGAAAAGATATATTAAGCCAGGATATTTCTCCCATAAAATCTAAATGGTTACAATGAAAGATTGGGTTAGATTGTAAAACGACCTCAGGATATATCTAACGGTAGAAACCAATACGGGACAAATAAACCTACAATTTTAATTCAGTAAA